TTCTATTTAATAGTTGTTCTTCAATTTTAACTTCTTTTTTAAGTGTTGTTTCAACTGTAATTCTATTAGTAATCTTGCTTCTCTTTCATATGTTAGGAAAAATAGTTTGTGTCCTATAGTATTATTTTGTAACATTCTATAGACAAATAATGCTATAGGAATATGATTATCCCATTCTTCTTCTAAACTAATAGTAAGTTTTTGTAACGTTGTTGATAAAGTTCTATTAAATTGTTCTACAATTCCATTCATTTGTGGGTGATATGGTGATAAATATTTGTATTGTATTCTAAATTTATCAGTGAGTTCTTCTATTATTTGTACTGTAAATTCTGTTCCTTGATCTGATTGTAATATTTTTGGACATCCATGTCATCAGATAATTTCTTCAAAGATAAATTTTGCAACTGTAATAGCTTCTTTGTTAGGTATCATTTTTGCTTTAGGTCATTTTGTTAGATAGTCTATTGCTATAACAATATATTAATTTCCTTGTTGAGTTTGTTTGCATGATCCAATTAAATCAATTATGATATGATCAAATGGTTATCCAACTTTGATGGAATGTAAAGGTTCTTTGAATTGTCAACTTCCAGTAAATTGGCATATTGAGCAAAATTTTACAAAATCTTTTATATTAGTTTCCATTTCATTCCACCAATATCGTATAGCTATTTGTTGGTAAGTTCCATTATATTCAAAGTGTTCAGATAATAAATCTTCATTTATTCCTTTCATTACTGCTTTTATTTCTGTTTCTTTTAGTATTCGAAGTGGGTTATTAGCATCTTTTCGTCAATTGATTTTATAAAGTAGACCATTTTGTACGACAAAATATTTAGATTGTTGTTAAAGTTATTTCTTTTGTTGTTTAGTAAAAGTTGAGTTGTAAGTTCTGTTGTCCAAAAATTGAAGTAGGTTGTAGTAAGTTGTTAGATCCATTTTTATAGTTGATTGTTTAAGCATTTTGAATGATCAGTAGAGTTAATTCGAAATAGAGCATCAGTATTTTGATTTACTCATCCAGGTCAATAACTAATTATGAAGTTGTATTTCATCATCGTTGTAATTCATCAGAAAATTCTTGGTGTTGGGTTTGTCTATTTAGTGAAAAGCCATTATAGTGCATTATGATTAGTTATTATTTCAAAAGTTGTTCCAAGCAAGTAATGTCTGAATTGATAAATAGTCCAAACTACTATTAAGACTTCTTTTTCAGTTGTATTATATCGAGTTTCAGCAGGTTTAAGAGAAACACTTGAGTAAGCAATTACTTGTTCTCAATTTTCTTTATTTTTCTGTGAGAGTACAGCTCCCAATCCAGAGTCAGAGATGTCAGTGTAAAGGTAGAATTTCTTCGTGAAGTCAGAATAAATTAAAATTGGAGAAGTGATAAGTGTTTCTTTGAGTTTGTTGAATACAGTTTCTTGATCAATAGTCCAGACAAAGGTAATATTATTTCAGAATAATTTAAATAATGGAGCAACGATTTGGAAAAATCCTTTTACAAATTTTCAGTAATATTCAACAAGTTCAAGAAATGATCTAAGTCTTTTTACTGTTTGTAGTTGAGGGAATTAAACAATCTTCTGAACTGTTGATGGATCAGGTAAAATATCGTTTTTATTTATTACATGTCCTAGAAAGAGCAATTCTTTTCTGATGAAGTTGCATTTGGTTTTGTTAAGTTTTAATCCAGCTTCTCTAATTCGTTGAAAGACAAGTTGTAGATATTATAAATGTTCTTCAAATGTTTGGAAGAATACATTAATGTCATTGATATAAACCATGATGAATTTCCAATTATAATCACCAAGCATACTATCTATAGCTCATTGAAATGTGACAGATCCATTGCATACACCAAAGAGCATGACGTTAAATTCAAAGAGTCCTTTACGTGAGATGAATGTAGTTTTTTGTATACTGTCAGAATGCATTCCTATTTGCCAGAATCCGTTGGTTAGATCTATAGATGATAATCATTTTGATTCTCCAAGTACATCCATCATTTCATCAATTCATGATAAGAGATAAGCATTTTTCTTTGTAATACTATTAACTTTTCAGTAGTCAATGCAGAGATGTTTCTTTCCACTCTAGATAATAAGAAGAAAATATAAAAAGAAAATAGATTCTAATACTTCTACTAGTTGAACAAGTATTTTATAATTCAAATATATAAATAATTTATTAAAATATAAAAGATGACTTTTACTAGTTGAATAAGTCAAAGTTAAGTAAATAATAAATCAAAAATAACAATAAATAAAAGATTATTTAGAAGTATTAGTTAATTTATATACTTTTATTATTTGATTACTTTCAAAATTACTTTTCAATTACTTGTAAATTATTTGTAAATTACTTGTAAATTACTTTGTTCTATATTAAATTACATTTATTTAAATATATGTAAAGATAATACAGATCTATATAATAAGTAATATTACTTTAAAATAATTATAAGATTAATTTGAAAGAAGTATAATATCAAGAAATGATAAGTGTAATATTAATTTAATCTAAATAATACAATTTTAAATTAGAGTGATATTAGTATTATATTAATTAATATTAAACAAAAATTAATTTAAATAGAATAAATTTAGATTCAATAATATTAGAATAATAAAATAAATTAATAAATAATGCAATATTAAAAAGAATTAATTGATATTTTTGATAAATTATGTGTAAATTAAATAATTTAAATAATTAAAAATAAAATTATAAATAGAAAAATATAAATAATTATCAAAATTATATCACATAATATTTATATATAATCCAAAATATTAAATAGTGATAATACTCTTAATAAAATAGAATAAGAATAATAAAATCCCAAAATGAGCAACCAGTTAATGAAGTCTATTTATTTAAGACTATTATAAAAACAATAATAAATAATATATTTAATATTATTAATAATAATTTAATAATATAATTTATATATCTAATATTAAATTTATCATATTATCAAATATATATTTAATTTTGAAATTAATATATGCTACTTTATATTCAAAAAGTTCAATTAATAATTTTTTTTGTAAAGAAGATTTATAATCAGAATATAAAGTTTTTAAAAGTTTAATAAAAAATAAATTTTTAATAATTGCAAATACAAAATAAATGCTTTTATTAAAGCATTATTAATATCTTTTTGATAAAAACTGATAATTTTAATACTTTCAAAATATTATTGAATACCAGATTAAATAAATGAAGTTAAAATAGAAATAGACAAAGTTAAAATAGATAAAGTTAAAGTAAAAGTAAAAATAAATAAAAAAAGAAGAATTTGTAGTTTTTTGACATTTATTATTATATTTAAAAGTATTATTTTTTTTGAATATTTTTTTTAGTTATTGCTTTTGCATATTTTATAATTACTAATTCTAGATATTGTGAACAATATGAAGTCAAATGAATATATATTACTATTATTTTTGCTATTTTCCAATATGTTTTACAATAAGAACATGTTTTTTTATAATGATCACGAGAGATTTCTTTTTTTTAATTATATAATTCCAAACTAATAAAAAATTATATTCTCCATTTTTTTTATTTGATTTTTTTGTAAAGCCAATAGAATTATTAATTGTTAAACTTGTAAAAAAAATTAAATTAGAAGATAAAAAAAATATTTATCATTATTAAATTCATTATTTATGTTATTTATAATAAGAAAGATAAATATTGTGATATATTACAACTATTATGATTTATAATAAGAATGTGAAAAATTATAATTGTTATAAAATAAGAATTACAATTAGTATAATATATTATGACAATTGTCACAATTGTAATAATTGCAATATATTATAATACAGTATAATATATTATAATTTATTAATAGAAATATAAAAAGTTGCAACTATTACAAAATAAGAAGTTATAACTATTACAGCAATTGCAGTAATTGTGATATATTACAGCACAGTATAATATATTATAATTTATTAATAGAAATATGAAAAGTTGCAACTATTACAAAATAAAAAGTTGCAACTATTATAATATATTGTGATAATTGTAATAATTATAATATATTGTAACATAGTATAATATATTATAATTATTACAATTATCACAATATATTATAATACATTGTAATAATTATGACATATTATGATAATTGTGACATATTGTAATAATTGTGACATATTGTAACATATTGCAATAATTGTAATACATTGTGATAATTGTAACATATTGCAATAATTGTAACATATTGCAAATTATGACTAATTACAATTTAAGTTGCAACTTATTCTTCAAAAATTGCAATTATTAAAAATCATTATACTATCTTTAATTACAAAGTCAATAATATATACAGTCAAATCTTTCTATAGTCATGCCTATTTATAGTTACACCTTTCTATAGTCACTCTATTTTACTTTCCCATTTATATATAAATATAGTAAAAAAATCTCTTTATAGTCACATTCTCTTTATGATCACCAAATTTTGCTTTTTCGAGAATGGTAATTATGACTGTAATTGAATTAATAAAAATAAAAAGAACTTATATTTTACTTGTTTATAAATCACTTTAAAAGAATATAATTATCTTTAAATATTTCTGGTCTCAAGCTGACCAATAAATGAATATATGTTATCTATCTTTAAATATTTGTATTCTCTCTCACACTTGAAATTATATCTTATAAACTCTTTTACTTGATATAACATCACATGTTATCCATGTATCCTCCTGTGACAAAGCTTAAAAATCATATAAAACAGTAACAATATTCAAATACTATTTTATCTATTATAATAATATAATAATTATACCTGTTGACCAAAACAAACAAATTTGCAAATATATTATTTATAGTTATAATAAACTTGGATCATTTTATAATTAGAGTCAATTTTTTTATAATCATTACCATTATAATCACATTATATACAAATATACTATAATTATACTCTTTTCAGGAACAACTACAATAAACTCATCTTTCTATAGTCATATTTATAATTTGCCTTCTCGTCGCCCGTTAGCAGTTGCAGGATGTTCAAAATTGTATAAATGTGTAGTAGCTTGACGTACTTTTGGATCATAATGATGCTAATAAAAAATATTAACAATTGAATAGTGAACTGAAATAAAGACATTCAAATAATTTACCTCTAATAAATACAATTCCCACAAACTTGTTGCAAACGGATTACAAAGTTCTGGATCGTCAAGTTCCGCGCGGTATACTCCATTTGTGAGGCGGTCGTCTGTTGTTAGTAGGGCATCAAGACGCGGATGTTTCTAATAGAAGCGAATATATTAGATGATATTTCAAAAAATTAATTGAAGAATCCTATAATCAAATAACAAAATAACCTGAATCAGTTTCTCCATTTTATTCAAACACTCCAAAACTGTTTTACTCGGCCAATTAAGACACACGATAGATAACCGTTTTAAGAACGCGGCTGATCTATTGGTTGGTATCTACTTATACAAATATTGAAGAGTATATAGTAAAAGTAAGATATATACAATTAAATGAATATGAAAAATATTTATTTATTTTTACCTGTCGTCTCCTAAAAAACATAAACTCAAATCCTTTCATCAACAATTCTTGTTCTGTTGCCGTTAATTTACTTTCATTGTCATCATTATTTTTGTTCTTGTCCTTTTCAAAGAATTCATCATTATCGTCTTCCATATTCGGACTCAACGCAAGTGGTAGCAATAACGCGTAAATTTCCGTGTAAAAGTCCTTGAGATCAATGTTTAATGATTCGCCTTTATTAATTCCCAGATCACCCATTATAATTAAAATTAGCTAATATTAAAATCAATAGAAAACTAAAAGTAAAAATTACCTTGTCCAGACAATAGCTGAAATGCCGTAATAATACACAATAAACTTTTGCGTGTTGCAACACGTCTTGAAACGGAGCACATAACCTCATTATCATCCAGACGACCACCATTCTTTGATTGCGAGGTATCATTATCATTTCCATTCTCAATACCACTACCAGTCATCATTATCATTTTTAGTACTTTTAATAGGTCACTGAAAAAATCGACGTTGATAAGGTGTGCGAATCTGAAGACATAAATGACATGATTCTGTTAAAAATAATTCAATTACTGTAGTAACTAAATATGTTTTAGGTTATATAATCACTTTGCTAGTCCCTCTAATACGGGCAATAATAGCGGCGAGTCATTAGTGTGTTTAAGTATACGAAAATACGTGGCGAATACCAACTTTAACGTCTCTGTTTGCTTCATAAGAAAATTCAAAATAAATAAAAATATATCAAAATAATATAATAATGTAAAATAAAACTACCTTCTTCTCTTTATCCTCTCGATCAACAACAGCTTCAGCCTCTTTCATCTCCTTCTGCACAGATTGACGATCCTTCTCCAATTTTCGCATCTTTCGCGAAATGTGCCGACGTTCTTGCTTCCGTTTCTTCATGTATTGTTGTTGAGAGTCCGATGATGCTGCTGTTCTGTTAGCTGAAACAAGCTCATCGCGAAGTCGTAAATGCAAAAAAGTATTAATAACTTGTTCATGCACTTTGTATTTTTGGGCTTTGATCATTCGTGTTGTTAGTTTCACCGCGTCAAGACTTGCTTCCCCTGATTCATCGTTTTTGTATATTTCTATTATTGTATCACGGCACATTGCTGACATCTGGAATTATAATCCAGAATAAAATAACGATAAGCTTAACCTTTTTGGCAGAAAACCATGGATTATAAACTGAAAAATAAAATACGTCTGTAAATTTCCTTGTACTCATTCTCGCAATAATAGCATTCATCAAATTCAATCGAAAATTGAAATGGGTTGCAGAAGTCAATAGAGCACACATGCATTGCAATGCTACTCGCCCTATAGCATCTTTTTCTTTTTTTGGATTCTTTTCAGTGGCTACGAGAACAATAATTTATTAAATCCAGTAAATGAAAAGATAAAGATCCCAATTAGGGATCCAGCCCACTCACTCGTCAACCGCAAGTAAAAAGCTTAACTCGGTTGACACATTGGCCACCCAGTTTGACTCGGGTCAATTGACGGTGAAACCCGATTGGTGAAATTACGTTGATCGGGTGTTCGTTGCGATTTTCAATCGATATACTTGACTATTAAACCGAGTTTACCCATGTTACTCGATAAAAATGCTGCGGCACAATATATCCGAGTTACTTGTTCAACCCGGGTTAAGAACAAGCGAGTTACTCGGTTGGAGGTTTTTTTTGACCGGGCTGGATCCCCAATCCCAATATATGCAGAAATTATATAATGATGAAAATACCCTTCACTGCGTTCTGTAGACTCTGTAAATATGCTTTATAATTGGCTAATAAGCTTTGTTCATAGTTTCTTAGTTTTTTCACCTCTTTGGACACCTGGCAGAGAAAAAGCAAAAATTATTAATAATAGATAGATCGTTGAATAATATAAAAATGCACAATTTTATTACCTTTACAGATTTCTCTTTTTCAGATAACACGCGTATTCGGTACCTGAACCAAAAAAAAATATATATAAAATTCGAAACAATAGAATCTATATATAATATAAACGCACCCAGGAAGAACATCCTTGTAAACAGCCAATTGTGTCAAAAATGCGAATTTTTTCACAATAATATTCGAGTCTTTTGATATCTCGCGTAATTTTCTCAATTGATCGACCTAAACAAATACATATATTTTAACTATCTATTTATATTGCTTCAAATCGAACTTAGCATACACACATTTTTCTCGGGATCTTCGATAATCGATTGTGCAATATTAGCCAACTCTTCTTTTTTCGAGGTAACATGAGCTTTTGGATCAATATTTTTCTCTTGTTGTATAACTTGATCATTCTCATCAGCACTTGAACTATCTTTATAATAATCAACAAATCCTGTATCTGAGCTATCCTCATCATCATCACCATCACCATCATCATCATCATCATCATCATCATCATCATCATCATCATCATCATCATCATCATCATCATCA